AGGCTGGTCTCAAACTCCTAACCTCAGGTGATCCACCCCGTTGGCCTCCCAAAGTGCTGGGATTACAGGCGTGAGCCACCGCACCCGGCCTGAACAACTTTTTTGGTTATTATTATACTTTAAGTTCCAGGGTACATGTGCATAACGTGCAGGTTTATTACATATGTATACTTGTGCCATGTTGGTGTGCTGCACCCAGACAACTTTTTAATGCGTCTCAGGATGCATGTGAGATTGATATTTACTAGGCACCATGTTGATGTTAGAAGGTCTGGGCGCCACCAGATGTTTTTACAATTCCTGTGAGCAGCTGCTACTAGTTGCCAAATGCCAGCAAGAATCAAGAAGACTCAGCTTCGCTGGGTGCGGTGGTTCATGCCTGTAATCCCAGCACTTTAGGAGGCCAACGCAGGAGGATGGCCAGAGGTGAGGAGTTCGAGACCTTCTCAGGAGGCTGAAGCACGATATTTGCTTAAACCCAGGAGGCAGAGGTTGCAGTGAGCCGAGATCGCACTACTGCCCTCCAGCCTGGCAACAGAACAAGATTCCATCTCAAAAAAAAAAAAAAGAAATAGGCTCACTGGTTAGGACCTGAGGGTGAAGAGCTCTGAAGAGGGGCAAAGGCGGAGACTTCCTAACATCAGCATAGCTCATTATGGTGTGTCAGTTGTCATGGTGATGGGAAAGGATACCTGAACAGAGGAGCATCTGCAACCCACAGGGAGGCTGCATCTATCAGCTGGGATCCAGTTAGGCTGCATAACAGCAACCTCCACCTCTCAGGGACTCACAACACCATGTTGATTTCTCACTCACATCCATGTCCTCCATGGGACCGCTCTGTTCTATGCTATCTTCATTCCAGAGCCCAGTCTGAAGGAAAAGCCTCAAGCTGAAACTTTTTGTCTCCAGACACAGAAGAGAGGAAAGGTAGCAGACCCCATGACGGCTCTTAAAGCTTCCTCTTGGAAGTGGCACATGTCATTTCCACTCAAAGTTCATGGTCTAAAGCAAGCTATATAGCCAAACCTGATGTCAGTGAACTGGGGACATAAAACCATTCTATATAGTGTAATGTAATGGGGAGCCGAGCAAGAAGACACGAGGCAGATGAGAACAGAGGTAGCTTTTATTGGGCTCGCGGGCGAGGTTCACTGGTCCCCTAGGAGGAGGGCCGAGGAAGTCACACGCAGGGCAGGTATCAGGGGCCTTTTGTAGGGCGAGGTAGGCGGGGTCTGTAGGTTTCGGTTTCTGAGGAATGAGGTGCCCAGGAGTTTGCGCAGAGCGGGGAGTTTTGGCGGGCTCAGGGCGCTTTTCGTGCGCTGAAAAGTCCTAGCAGGAAGTCCCAGCGGGTAAAGTCCCGACAAGGGGCCCGCCATGTCAGGTGGTACCGCCATGTTGGGTCTAGATCCCTGCCTAACATTCTGACCTCTTTCTAATAAGAAAAAGGGGCGACATGTTCATCTGGCTGCTTCCTGCTGGTATAGGTCATTGTGGGGTTCTTCGGAGGTCGGAACTCGGGTATAGGGGTGGAGTAGCATCTGATTGACAGTGACCTGGGAGACTTCCTTTATGTGGTCCTGGACGAAGCGGAGGACACAGGGAGCTATGAGTAGCAAGAAGCCAATGATTAGTAACGGGCTTAGAAAGGGTAGGACCCAACCAGCTATAGACAACTACCACCACCCAAATGAGGGCCCTGATCTGAGGTTTCTCTGGTGGAGCCCTTCCTGAATCTTTTCTACAGTGAGGAGATTGGTTTCTACTAGTCCTGATTCACTGATGTAGTAGCAACATTCTTCATTGAGAACATGCAGGTGCCGCCCTTAGCGGCTGTAAGGAGGTCGAGTGCCCGACAGTTCTGGGCTGCCACCTGGGTGACTGAGGTGATCTGCCGTTGGAGGGAAGCCAAGGACTCCGCAGAAGCTTCGATTGCTACCTGTAATCGGGCTGAAAGGTCCTGAGAGGCCTGGACAGAATGAGTTAGGGCTCCGGTTCCTAAGCCGGAGGCTACCAGGGATGAGGCTAAAGAGACCTCGATCATCAATGGAAGGAATACTGCCCTTGCCTGGCGGGGAGGGCAGAGGGCAGGAGGGAGGATAGCTCGGCCTCACTGTACAGGGTGAGGCTGGGGACTAGGAAGATGGGAACGCATAGGGCAGTGTTGGGGGCATGGAGGGTTTTTGACAGGGTGGAACTGCACCAAAAATACCCACCTGGAGGGGCGGTTAGATTTAGAGGTGCAGATCCTGTCTGGTTGCACCAGGAAGCATTGGGGGTGGAGTAGCAAAAGGGGAATTGTTGCCTAAGTGGGTCTTGAAACAAGGGGACTTCTCCTGGGGTCCGGCGGGGAGCGGGGAGGAGAGGGTTAGGTTAGAGGAGTTAAAAGGGCTGGGTAAGGGTACTGCAACCAGTGGGGGCTTATTCAAGGCTGCACACAGGAAACAGCGAGAGATGTTGTGTACCCCGGCCATGTGTACCACTTGAGCCCCTTCCCTGACTAAGGTTAGCAAGGAAAAAGGGTTGCTGCTGTCCTGGGGCTTACTGCCTGGGTCGACTAGAGCTGAGATGGCTTCCTCCTGTTGTCTGATGTCAGAGGCCAGGCTGATAAGGCTGCTTACGACCCTGATGTAGGCCTTAAAGATCCTGAGTCGGGCCATAGGATAAGACTCACTCTGCCCTCGGTAAAGGCGGGCCTCAACCCCTGATGCCCAAGGGTCAGGGATGGTGAGGAAAAAGATAGACTTGAGGTTTGTAGTCAGCCGCACGGAGGAAGTGGGCTGCTGCCAGAGGGTTTCTTTGGTGTCCTGTATGGCCGAGTGAATG